CTGCTGAACACTGTAGCGAATCTATAGACAAACATAAGCAAAGTAACTTAAGAGTGAAGTTACATAATGACAGTACAGTGCTGTCAGCAGAAGCGCACAAACCTCCACTTCCATGACTGTTGTTTTCTTGGCCAATCTATCCAGCAACTCCTCGTGACATCTTCACACAACATTTAAGGAAAGAAAAATCAGAGCTGTGACTTGACTGCATAATCCAAGTTGTAGGTGCATGAGAAGTGAATTCTAAATGGGCAAAACTCCTACGCATCCTATCTCTTACTAATTCCACTCAGTGGCGATGACTCAGAGAAAAAAAGCTGTGCTACACTTCATTCATGCCTCGAGGGAACTGCAGCAGACATTAGGATTAATGCTCTGGCTCTTTAGTGTCCTTGAAATGCATTTAAGTGCACTTTTGGTCAACAATAAAACTAAGAAAACAACACAGTGAGGTACCTCTCCTTTCGCTGAAAATCAAATAGCGCTGAAAGGATACAGCTCTGTGATGAGCACCACCATGTTCTTCTTCTCAAAGGCATCATGAAAATAGAGAATTCTCTCATTGTCCAGCTCTGACAGCAGGTCCATCTCTCTGAGAGCCAAGGCTTTCCTTTTGCTTCGTGCAGAAATGAACTTGGCAGCAAACTCTGCCTTTCCCTTTTTTTGAGTCACTTTCTTCACATAGGAGAAGGCCCCCCTGCACCAACAGCCACACAGTAATGACTTTATCAGTTTAATTCATACATAACACATTTATTTGTTCAGTTTTAGTCAGTTCTTATTCTATTTAACAAAACAATTGTAGTCCAGTGGTCACAAGACAAGACACTACTGGCCTTACTACAGGATGCAGATAACAGTGTAACTACTGTAGGGGCCATGGGAGATCATTTTTGATTTGTGAACTGTGTGTGACAAAATAATATCAGCTCAAATTTCCACTTGACACATTTTCTGAGCTTTTAACCTCCAGAAAATCACTGCAGATTAAGGCTCAGAAAAGCTAGTAAGTGTTAAGGTACAGCTTAAATGGAACCATCTTTTTCAAAGACTACTTCTGCACTTTACCAAATAGAAGACTGTATAGTAGCATCTGAAATGAATAGCCTCTAACGAGTAACAGTAAAATAGGAATACAGCTCTAGGGCAGTTGTCTGAAAATAAGGTACACCCATCAGCCAGTCAGGATCAATAGCTTTCTGTGGTCACAAAGGAAAAACAACAACACACGACAACACAATCAAGGGCAACTCAGGGTGAAGGTGCATTATTCTGTTAAAAAACAACTAAAATGAAAAAACAAAAAAAAACAAAGTTATCACATCGAAGTAGGCAGCTATAACACAGTTTGGGAGGCAAATGATGACATGAATTCAGCATATAGTAGGCCTACAGAAGCAATAAAAAGAGCTCTTGTCTTGTGTTTGGAAGAAAAAAATCAGAATCTGATTCCTCTTTTGAGTTTGTTGTTCTGTTTAATAACCAAAGTGCATCAGATGTTGGAAAACAGATGTTCCCTTCTGCCTGTTCTGCTGTTCTAATAGTTTTAAATTCACTATAAGTGCCTTTGGGGGAGGCGACAGTGCGGTGGGTAGAGCAGATGGCTGCCTCAGTTCTGTACCGGAAACACATTCCTTGTATGTAACATACTGGGCCATTTGCCTACCAAAGGTGATTATCATCCTTATCCTCTCTCCACTAAGTCAGAGCAAAACAAATAATCTGTCAGCTAATGTATTCACTCCACTCAGGCTGGTGACTCATCTCTCTCATGTCTCTCTGTTGTTAAGCAGGTGTGACTCCTCGCACCCCCGTCCGCCCACCCACAGCCCAACCTCTCGCTCTGTGAAGGGAGGTGAGGCACACACACGTATACACACTCACCTCCCTATCTCTTTGTGGATATCATAGTAATCCGTCAAATGCCTCATCTTCCTCAGAATAGTTCCCTCGTCCTCCACTGGCTCTGCCGGCTGTTTTCGTTCTGTACAGAGCACCGACATAAGCATTTTTATTTGGTATGTGTGTTGACTGCACATGTGCGCAGACATAGTGACAGATGGTTTCATACTGTAGTCTCAATACATCTTGTGGGCCCGCCCATATGGTGCAGATTTAGAGGTGCAATTTTCAACAAATATCTTATAATGGTCTGCTCTGTAACAAGAAATGGATCTAATCTAAAGTAATTGCTCAACAGTGTCATCAAACAGAAGAAAGATTCAGTACATGACTGAATCAAGTTCTCATGAAAAGATACTACCTCCCCATACATTTCCTATTTTGGACTTTCACAGAATTATAATCTGTCTATATTCTGTGCATACAGTGCAGTTGATGGTAATGCGCTGCCTACCTGAGTGAACTGTGAGCTCCGCCTTGCAGGAGTTGGTGCCGGCCAGGTTCTTTGCAGTGCAGGTGTACACACCAGAGTGCTCAGGCTGGGCATTGAGGACAACAAGGGAATATTCTGGATCATCGTATACAAATGTGAAGTGGCTGCTTTCAGAGAGAAGCATGTCATCCTGCAATAGGATAATTCATAAAATGGTTTTTGATTACACACTAAAAATACTGTAATATTGTACATTCATGGCTGTTGATATAAAACTGTCTTTAAACAATTTTGAAGATATTCCAGCAATTTTAAAAAATGTGGCAAATGCTACTTTTTGTGCCCTCAATCACTATACCTTATACCACAGCATATCTGGGTCTGGTTTCCCTCCAACCACCACAGCCAGGCGCAATGTCTCCCCAACATGCACATCCACATCCTCCATGATGGTTTCAAACTTAGGAGACACTATGGAGTAAGGTGTAAACAATAAAAAAGAAAAAGTATGAAATATCTGCAATACTTTCAAAACTGGTGGTGGTCACAAATTTAGAGATACACATTTCAGACTGCAAGAGAATAATTACTTGCTCCCTTTATGCAGTTTCAAGCAATAGTGCATGCTGAAGAGTTCATGTTACTATTGTCTATATTACATGTTGTTTGGTCAGTAAATTTACACAAAAGCTTTACAAGAATGCTGCTGTTTTAATGTTCTAAAATCCTTGAAGTTAAAACAAAAAATAGCCAATAATAAAGAGGTTTTCATTTCAAAACACTTAAGTAATTTTTAGAAAACTTATTTTAAAAGTCTTGATCCTTTACTTAGCAAGAGCTACACTTAAATTAAAAGCAGGCTTTGCCGGCATTTACTGCTGCTGGGAGTAAATAGTATGTTCTTTGGATTTCCTTTAAACTTCGCCTGAACTGGACTGACCTGCAATGGCCAGCTGAAGTGTGCAGAGGTCGCTGCCAAACTGGTTGCTGGCGGTGACCACAAACTGGCCAATATCTGTGCTCCTGACCCGCTGAAGCTTCAGGGCGTGCTGATCGTCATCTGGCATGCTCAACTCATACATCCCAGGTTTGTTGACCAGCACCTCGCCCCTCCTGGGTACGACAGACGCAGTGTATCACAGTTAGAGCTACAGACTAGAAATGAAGAGCTGAACAATTCACCCCCACATACACATGTGCACGGATCATTTTTGCCTTAAGATGTTATCATACTGATACTTAGCTTTGGGGTGTTTATGCACATTTATTGGAGTCTACAAAGAATTACCAGAACAAACTAAATCAAAGATACTGATGTTCACTGACCTCAGTACACAATACACACTAAATGGAGATGTGCATTTTTACAGACTGAATTCAAAGTTCATTCTTTGGTGCAAGGATACCCAAGCAAACACAATCATGAATACCCTGCAGACATAACAAGCTTTCTCCTGTGATTTTGCAGAGCTCCGCAGAGAACGTTCTCCAACAACAAACACTGAATTCAGTTAAAGGAATGGGAACCACTGCACAGCGGTGCTTCCTCAGTCCTGGACTCCTGCTATTTATTTTTGGTTAGGAAAACCATGTTCACGTGTTCCATCACAATTTTTACAACACTGAGAATAAAATGGAGTTAACACCAACAGGGCTCCGGCTGTGGAGCCCATTTCTGTTGTTGTTTGTTTATTTGAAATGAGCTTCCTGTCCGTCTATCACAGATTGTCTCAGTGTTTACACAAAAATTCAAAACCCACCAATTTTGCACCAACTTGTGCACAACGACCTCAGTCACAACTTGGCTTACACTCATTCTGTGAAGTTATTTTTGTGCTAATATTATTTTTGGAAATACGACAAAGTCACTGCACAATGTTGTTTACATATCAGCTAACCTTTTCCAGGTGACAACTGCATGCACATGGTTCAGTGTGATGATGATGCTTGCAGGCTGGTTCTCAACCACATAAACAACATCTGGTTTGTCCAAAATGACTGGCGCTCTCTTCAAATAGGGTCCTACAGTTTTCCAAGATTGGAAAAAGGGACTTAATAAACATTAATGTATATGTATATTATTTTCTTAAAGAGGAATTTTTGGACCAGCGACAGTGTAAACTATCTGCAGCCCTGGTACCTCTATCCAGCAGCTGGACCAGGTCAGTGGAGAGTGATGGTTTGCTTAGTGTCTTGCCAGTGGATGCCAGGACTCTGAAAGCGTAGCGGACTCCCTTAGACAGGGAGGTGACTGTGTAGTTGGTCTCTCTCAGGTTAGACGCCACAACAGACCACTGGATAGAGCCCGGCATCTGCAGGCACATAGGCTATTTAGCTTAGTTGTTCTAGACTGTGGTGAACACACAGTGATATGCTTAAGCAGCTGAAAAATATGTTTTGTTTTTCAAATCTGTGCTGAGATATAAAATTCCAAAGAGATTAAAATGTCTCAGAAAGAAACCAAATAAACAACAACAAAATGCTGGTTATACAGTGCCTTGCAAAAGTATTCGGCCCCCTTGAACTTTGCGACCTTTTGCCACATTTCAGGCTTCAAACATAAAGATATAAAACTGTAATTTTTTGTGAAGAATCAACAACAAGTGGGACACAATCATGAAGTGGAACGAAATTTATTGGATATTTCAAACTTTTTTAACAAATAAAAAACTGAAAAATTGGGCGTGCAAAATTATTCAAATCCACATAAGGGATGACGGCAACATTCATAGATCCTGGAATGCACAATGAGGGGCAATGTTCATTCCTATTACAGAGGCCCACTGAAATTTTTTTGAGGAAAAGCTGTGTTAGACTGCATATTGTTTATAGTAAAGTATTTTTATATACAAATATAAAAATGAAAATGTTTCTGGAGTGGGACTTTAATTAATTATAGAAGTTGTGCAGAAGCTGCCCATAGCTCTACACAGTGATCCATGTGTGTACTGTATGTGTTTCTATGCTGCTCCAAATGAGTCTGTTCTGGTTCAACTTGTCTTATTAAATGAGCTTAAAAATAAAGTGACACCTTAGTTATAAAACACTGAGCAGGCTGTAACACACAAGAGTGTGT